AAGAAATTCATTTCCAGATCCCGTCTTTGAGCGAGTAAACTTTCCACTTTGTTTTGTACATCAGGCGAAACAAACAAGGAATACAAACACAGGACAATGTTTTCCTATTATGTTGGAGACCACATGCAAAGATTTGGGCGCTTTTGAACAAAAAAATCATCTTTCACCCAAAGAAGTCACTTACGTCAGTCTTGCACCAAGCCATTCAATTGATGAATTAATCAAAATTATATAATAACATTATTAATTAATATAGAATAACCGATTGACCCTCGCATAAAATGTCTTGCATTGTTTCTAGGACATTTATCCTATTTACAGATGCCAAAGATAAAAGGGTTACATGTAATTTTTTGTAATACCGTTGTCAAAAGTCCACAAACAAAAACAAATTTGCACAATTTTTACTTAACCCATTGACGACTGTACTGGCTGTAACCGGCCGTAAAAAATCACATGAGGACAATTGCCTTTGCTACCCTCCCAGAAGACTTTTTGGTTCTGCTTTTGTTCTATTGTTGTTAAGGACAAATAAACCAAGGAGAATAGACTTTCTGAGCATATTTTTAGGGGACTTTAGGGGGTAATGATGGCGCGTTGCAGGCGAAATCTGCAAACTTCAAAGGTCTTGTTTTCATTCCTGAAACGGAGAAATTACTTCTTTGGGACTTAAAATGGAAAGGAAAAGCACAAATCGATGTTTAGGTGTTCTCAGAGGGGGAGATCAAGATGTACAGAGATCTCAAATCTTTATGGTGAAGAATTTTTTCCTTCCTTCAACCACTGTGAAAACATGACGATCAGTGCACTTTCAAGTGCTTTTTGAATACAGATCGCGGATCTAAAGCAGCTTCCTGGAATTTAGAAAACAAAAAGGGTAATGTATATTATTACTTCGAAGTCAACTTTTGGAACAATTGGTGAAGCCATGGGCATTAAAATGACTTCAAAAGTAGTCGGAAAAAACTTGAGCTTTCGCTTTAGTTTGGTAAGAATAAGTACTCGAGGGCTTGTCCGCTCTTGAAGTAAACGTTCGCCCAAAAATATCGCTCCCCTGAAAATATCGTCCCGATTAGCAGCCCCTGGGTCTCCAAGGAGGAGACAAAACAAATCTTGTGTTGT